AGCATAGCATAGCTGGCTGGGGAATTCTGGGAGTTGAAGTCCACACATCTCCAACTTGCCACGTTTGAGAAACACTGGGATAGATGCTAAAGAACCCACTGTGTAGACTTCAACTCCCAGAATTCCCCAGCATAGCATAGCTGGCTGGGGAATTCTGGGAGTTGAAGTCCACACATCTCCAACTTGCCAAGTTTGAGAAACACGGGGATAGATGCTAAAGAACCCACTGAAATTAATCAGCTGGGAAGGAAAAGGGATTGGAATAGAGTAGGCTTGGAAAGGGCATGACAGACTGGCTGGCAAGCGGGAAGCTCTTCACGGTGCAACTTTTGGTCGCAGTAGGCCTACGGATAACCTTCCTTCTAGAATTTCACCTTTCTTTACAAAAAAAAATAGCACACACACATACATGGGCGGGGTGCAAGGTTTTATAAAGGCCCAATCAGGGCCAACCCCCCCCCCAATTTGGAAGGGCGTCAATTTGCTCCAACGCCCGTATCAGATGGGGCTGGGGGGGGCTCCCCATCTGATGGCAGGAGACCGAAAACGCTTCCTCTCCTCCCGCCACTCCCCTTGGGGTTTTACTCACGTGTAACACGTTGGTGCTTCGAGTAACGCGATTTATAGGTTTATACAGCAACGCTATAGATGGGGGGAAGAAGGAAAAATAATGGTGAGAACAAGGAATAGGTCCGGGTGGGGTGGGGGCTGGAACCGAGCAATAAACCTTTCAACGGTTCTGAAAAAGTTAAAGTGGCTAAGATGTAGTCCAGGGCTGGCTTTCAAACAAATCTTGATTATTCCCCTCCAAAGCAACAAATCGTTTAGAGCATATAGCCCCCTCTTCTACAAGAATATATATTTCAATGCACTAACGAGCAACATCCGTTTTTTTCCCGATGACGAACAGGAGGGACGAATTAACAGAAACTCAGTCGCGCTTTTTCTGTTAATCTGCCTGCTCGGCTGCCTCTGGCGGGATTTTACGGGTCGCGTTTTTAAGAGGGGAGGTACGACAAATATTTTAATGCACAGACCCTCCCGTTCGCTTTATGGAGCTGCTGAAGTTTTGATACCGGACCTATCGAGGCGCATAACTGGAAATGCTTATGACATTTACCGAACCTTGCCTACGGCTCATCGGCAGTTATGCGCGTCCAACAGAACTGCTCCTCGCCCGTTCCCGATTCATTCTTTTAGAATGAATTTCATTTCGGCCTCCGCCAAACCGTTTACCCGCGCTCTGCACGGGAACGATTTCGGCTTTGGGGCTGCCTTCTGGGTCCGTGGCGAACTGCCGTAACCACAGCTCGATCTGCGGGAAGCCTTGTGGGGTTTAAATGAAAACGTAACTCCAACCTAATCCTTGGGAAAGGCAACCCCGTTCTTCTTTTTTTCTTTCCCATCGCGTCATTTCCGAAGTTAGACCCACTTTTGCAAGGGGGGGGAGGCAAAAAGTTTAGTGCTGTGCGGGCGCAGGAGGAAGAAACTGCTTCGTTTTCCCCAAGGGCTCTGTTCGCCCTCAAACAACTGATATTCTCAAATGGAATAAAACTGTGTTGCGCCACAGGAAGGGACAAACCGCAGAGAAAGGCAGGAGAAAGCGTCACAGCATTATCGTTACTGTTGTTATAGGTAGTCCTCGCTTAACAATCGAATTTGTTGTTAAGAGGGGCAGTTGTTAAGCGGGTTGCGCCCAATTTTACAACCTTTTTTTGCAGCGGTCATTAAGTGAATCACCGTGGCCGTTAAGCGAATCACAGGGTTCTCCACTGATTTTGCTTGCCGGAAGCTGGCTGGGAAGGTCGCAAATGGTGACCGCGTGAATCCAGGATGCTGCAACTGTTTTAAGTGTGAGCTGGTTCCCAAGCGGGGTGGGGTGGGGGGTGTGCTACAACAGTTGTAAGTGCAAGGGCTGGTTGTGAGTCCCTTTGTTCAGCACCACTGTAATTTCAAACAGTCACTAAACGAATGGTCGTTAAGTGAGGACTACCTGTAATATTATATTTATTTTTAAATTTGCACACTGCCCAACCCCCAAATTTGGTGGGGAAACTAGTTTTAAACAAGAAGCAGTGAGCATCCATATGTACTTTTCAGTACCACTGGTGCTTAAAAACTAAAAACAGGGAAGGAAGCCTATTGTAAATTTCCGGACTCCCTCCAGTATGCTGGACTTCAACTCCCAGAATCCATCTCCTGGGGGATTCTGGGAGTTGAAGTCTAATACCAACAGTAAGGAGGCTGGAATAGGCCCGCATCTACACCAGTGTTTCTCAACCTTGGCAACTTCCAAGATGTGTGGACTTCAACACCCAGAATTCCCCTAGCCAGCACTTGCTTAGCACAAGTTTTCTCAAGTGGGAGAGCGCCAAATGACAAGTAAAGCCCCCAATTTTAACTCTTGATTTTATGCACATGTTCACGTAGTTTTTATGGCAGCAATACGGGAGTGGTCTGTCACTGCCTTCTTCCCATCCCGTCCTGGTGGTCTCCCATCTAACTAGATCTGCACTTGCTTTTAGGGTCCAAGCCTAGCAAAATGAGCAAAAGAGAAAAGAAAAAAAATATGAAGGAGCTGAAGGAAATCCCAAACTACCCCGTTATAAATCCTATACCTCCAAATTAAGTCCTTTATATATTTTTGTGTCCTTCAACGCCTTAGTTTGCTCACCCTTGTGGGGGAATTGTTTTTTAATTTATTTTCACGGGCAATCTCCAAAATCAAGCACCGGAAACTCAAATCAGACCTCCCCATACTAAACATTGTAAAAAAAAACGCATTTCCTTAATTGCGTGCAAGATCAATTCTCGTATATCCATCTACGGTTACCCAGATTTGATTTCCTGCTTGGATCTGGCAATTTAGCAAGAAAACTTTCTTTTTCACCGCTCTGCAAGTCAACAAACTGTTCATCCACAAAACCTGATTAACAACTAGCAAATGATGGTTTTTATTCACTTTGACATGGGTACCCCATCGGAATCTGAGATTGCACCGGCAAAAGGAAGACAGGAAGAAGAAAAAAGGAATGAAATAGAAATATCCTTATTGCAGAATATTTAAAAGGAGAAAAACAAAGTTTTAGAAAACGGCTCTCCCATCCCCAAATCTTCTTTCTTGCATTTAAAAAGAATCCCAACCCTCCGGGGAAAGACCCCCGAGATGCGTTGGGCTGCAGCCCCCAGGTTCCCATCCAGCGTGGGCACTGGAGAGGCTTATTGGAATAATGGGAGTTGTAGTCTAACATATCTGGAGGGCCCTGGGGGAGACAAAGATGACCCAAAGCATTTCAGGCCTGAAGAAGTGGTTTAAAAAAAGTCCTCAAACTTCTTTTTGGCGCTAGAATTGGCCATTTGATGGTTTTGGGGGTTTTTTGGGATTTGTGAAATCACAGAATGCTAGAATTGAAAGGGATCTCAAGAGGACATCTAGTCCAACCCCTGCTCAGGGTAGGATCCACTAGAGCAGTGTTTCTCAACCTTGGCGACTTGAAGACGGGTGGACTTCAACTCCCAGAATTCCCCAGCCAGCCTT